CACCCCTGGCCTCAGGGCTGATCCTGCACGCCTGACTGGGATGGGATGGCTCCGTGGGGCGAGCAGAGCTGCAGGAGGGGCTGCGGGGTAGGTAGGGTGCTGGGTGCCCCCGGCCATGAGGACATGGCTGAACTGTCCGTCTCCGTGCAGTGGGCTGGCATGCAGGAGGGCCAGGTGGCCATGGCAGCGGATATGGTGCTGAGCCACCGGGCACCCCACAAGGTGCTGAGCGAGGCCGACTTGGAGGAGGTGGCGCAGCGGAAACCTCCCACTGAGCCCTCGCTGCGCAGTTGTCTCCGCAAGACCAGGTAGGACTGCGCCGGCCGGGGGGATGTGCCTGGACCCCGCCAGGCACCATGCACCCCAGCCCCACTGCCACGGGGAGCCTGTCTCTGGCTGTTCCAATCCCTGTGGTAGACACAGTGCAGACCTGGGGGTTGGTTCCCCCACGCCCAAACACCTGTGTCCCCACTCTGTCCTCCTGCTTGGAGGGACACCTGGCTCCAGTGGATGGAGCTGGGGGGCCAACTGCTTCCCATGGGGCCGCGTCCACCCCCACTGGTGTCCCTAAGCCCCTGCGCTTGTGCTCAGCCCTGGCTCCTGCTCCTTCCCATCAGATGCTCGGTCTCCACCGCCAAGTCCCTGCTCTTCCGGTTCCTGCCCTTCCTGCGCTGGCTGCCCCGCTACCCTGTTAAGGACTGGCTCCTGGGGGACATTGCCTCGGGCTTCAGCGTGGGCATCATGCACCTGCCCCAGGGTGAGTGATGTCATGGCCAGGCTGCCGGGGACTCCCTGCAGCGGGGGAAGCCAGAGGTCAGCCATCCATGACATGTGACATTGTCTCCCTGCTCCACCATGTCCAGGGCTTGCCTACGCGCTGCTGGCTGGACTGCCGCCTGTCACCGGTCTCTACTCTTCCTTTTACCCCGTCTTCCTCTACTTCTTCTTTGGAACATCCAGGCACAACTCCGTGGGTGAGCTGAGGGATGGTGGGGAGGGAGCGAGGATGAGAGGGGTGAGCCTTCATCCACAGCACAGCATTGCTACATCAATGGTTGGTGGGGACCTTGCCTTTACTTTGCTCCACCAAGAAGGTGGTTGGCCAAAGCAGAGCCAAAGCACAGCGGTGTGCTTTGAGCCTGGCCTAAGGGGACAGGTGCCTGTGGACCTCAGAGAGGTCCTGGTGCTGACCTTGGGCTCCCTGCCCACACCCTGACTGTCCTTAGGCCCCTTTGCCGTCATCTCCGTGATGATCGGGAGCCTGACAGACTCCCTGCTGCCCAGTGAAAACTTCCTGGAATCTGTCAATGGCACCAACGTCACGATGGTCAATGAGGAACGGCGCGATGCTGCCAGGGTGGAGCTGGTGGCCACCATCACTGTCCTGACAGGCATCTTCCAGGTAATGGGGCCTCAGCCCAGCTTGGGAGGGAACAGGGGACTGTGGTGCCCCATAGCTGTGAGCCGCGGGGCATTCCTCCTGCCATGTCTCCTCCCAGGTGGCCCTGGGCCTCCTGCAGTTTGGCTTCGTGGTGACCTACCTCTCGGATCCACTGGTGCGTGGCTACACCACTGCTGCCTCCGTGCATGTCCTCATCTCGCAGCTCAAGAACGTCTTCGGGGTCTCCCTAGGAGAGCACTCGGGTCCGCTCTCGCTGTTCCTGGTGAGTGGGGATTTGCTGCTGCCCTGGGACCCCCTGGGTGCTCACCTGTGGGGCATGGAGAGGCCCCCAAAAACCTGCCATGGAGGCATCTGCTTTCCTGAGCCTGTTCCCTCCTTCTGCGTCCTCTAGACCTTCATCGAGATCTGCCAGAAGCTGCCAGAGACCAACGTGGGCACCCTAGTGACAGCCATCATTGCTATGGTGGCCATCTTCATCGTGAAAGAGCTCAACCACAAGTTTGCCGCCAAGCTGCCCATGCCCATCCCCATCGAGCTTATCACGGTACCCAGAGCTGCCCCAGCTCCCTGCGGGGACGCAGCCATGAGCAGCCCTGTCCCCTCCAGGGTGGGGAGGAGTGGGATGGGGTACCTTGGCCAGTGCAGCTCCAGGGCACACGTCGTCTCCTCCTCCTCCTCTACCATGGTCCTGGTAAAGGAAGGCCCTGCCTCACTCCAGCCATCCTCCCGCAGATCATCATCTCCACCGGCATCTCCTATGGCGTCAACCTGAATGCCAAGTTTGGCATCTCCGTGGTGGGCAACATCCCCAGTGGGTGAGCAGGGCCGGGAGGTGAGGGTGGCTGTGCCGGGGCACCGTGCCACTCATGGGACCCCCCTTTTGAGCCTGGTCTCCCTGTCTTGGCTGTAGGTTGAAGCCGCCCGTGGTCCCTAATGTCAGCTACTTTGGGCAGGTGGTGGGCAATGCCTTCGCCATTGCCGTGGTGGGCTATGCCATCTGCATCTCCCTGGGCAAGATCTTTGCCCTGAAGCATGGCTACAAAGTGGACAGCAACCAGGTGATGCTCTGACGCGCAGGGCCCCTTTCCTGGGTGAAAACCAAGCTTGTACTTCTTGCAGCTTGGGGAAGGCATGGTGCTCCCCCACCACTGCTCTGTCCCTGCAGGAGCTGATTGCGCTGGGCCTCTCCAACTTCCTGGGGGGCTTCTTCCAATGTTTTGCCATCAGCTGCTCCATGTCGCGGAGCCTGGTGCAGGAGAGCACGGGGGGCAACAGCCAGGTGGGTCTGGGCGGTGCTGCCTCCCTCCGTGGGGTTGGACCAGGGGTAAGGAGCATAGTGAGTGCTGGGGAACTCACCTCTCGCCTTCCGCTCTCACCCCCCAGGTAGCCGGTGTCATCTCATCCTTGGTCATCCTGGTGACCATCCTGAAGATTGGAGAGCTCTTCCGGGATCTGCCCAAGGTACATCTGGCACTACAGCCTCCGTGTCACATCCCACCCCTGTGCCCGTCCCATGGCAAGGTGGTGTGGCAGGGGAACGGCCAAGGGCCTCCCTCCCCCAGACCTGCCCTCAGCAACCTCATGGCTGCAGTAACTTCTCTCCTAGGCCATCTTGTCTGCCATCATCATCATCAACCTCAAGGGCATGTTCAAGCAGTTTGATGATCTCTGCATGCTCTGGAAGTCCAACCGGGTGGACCTGGTAAGGTGCCACCTGGCCCTGGGGCTTTGCTCTTGTCCCTGGAGAGGGTTTCTCCATCCTCCCTGGGCCTCATAGGGGCCAGCAGGGAGACCATGCTGCGGCTGACCGTGTCCCCCCCTCCAGATGGTTTGGGTCGTAACATTCGTGGCCACCCTCTTGCTGAACTTGGACATTGGCCTGGGGGCTTCGGTGGCCTTCGGGCTGCTCACTGTCATCTTCCGCACCCAGCTGTGAGTACCCTGGAGCTGGGGGCCAGTGCTGCATCCCAAGGGCAGGGGAATCCTGTGGTGACCTCAGCCCCTTGCTCTGCTCCCTGCAGCCCCCACTACTCCATCCTGGGACGCATCTCCGACACCGATGTCTACAGGGACGTGGCTGAATACGAGATGGTGACAGCACCAGGGAGACACCTGCAATGGGGGGGGGGGCAACTCGAAGCACCCCCAGGGGTTGTCCTCTGGGGAAAGGAGTGGGGGGGCATTTGGGAAGAGGGAGGGAAGGGGAGCAGGGGACTCCATCCCTGGGGTAGCACCCTTCCTGTCTGACCCCAGGCAGAGGAGATCCCTGGTGTGAAGATCTTCCGCTCCTCCTCCACCCTCTATTTTGCCAATGTGGAGCTGTATGCCGAGGCCCTGAAGAAGAAGGTAGGAGAGCCGCCATCTCCCCCTGGTGCTCCCTGTGTCACCCCATCTGCCAGCACTGGGGTGGTGGTGGGGCACCTGGGGACACAGGGCTGCATTGTTTTGCAGAGCGGCATTAATGTGGACCGCCTGATCGAGAAGAAGAAGAAGGCCCTCAAGAAGCTGAAGAAACAGCAGAAGAAAGCGGAGAAGGAGAAGGCAAAGAGGAAAAAGGTGCTTCCCCACTGCAGGGGACCCCTCCAGTGCCACCTTGCACTGCCTCCCTGCCTGGCCCTGGCCCTCCTGCCCATGCATTTGCCGGGCTCGGTGGCCCAGAGGGCTCCTGGTTCAATCTGGGAGAACCAGAGCAGAGCTGGGCCATGGTGTCACACCCAAGGTCAGCAGGGAAAGCCGGGCAGTTAATGATTAGGTGGTGGAGCCAGTGAGTCATTAGCCATTTGGTGAGTTAATCAGAATTAAGAGCGAGAGCAAAGGCTGACCTCGTGCCAGTTAATGAGTCCGGCTCTGGAGCGGGTCACTGGGGAGAGAGGTGGGTCTCAACACATCCGGAAATAGCCCAAAAGTGGGTGAAGGTGTGAGGCGCCCAATCCCTGGGCCACCCGCTGCCTGTGCCCTGATGCAGCCAAAGAGCCTCGACAAGACCCACTGCGCTGTAGGGCAGGGCAAGCCTGGGGGGAGGTACGATGCATGGCCAGGCGGGCGGGGGTGTCGCCAGCCCCCGTGCAGTGAGGCCGGGTCTCCTTCCCTCCCCCAGGATGCAGAGGACGGGATTAACGGACCAGGCGTGGCGGTGATTGAGCTGAGCGGGGCGGAGAGCAGCGCACCCCCAGAGCCCACCCTGCGTACCCTGGGGCTGCCCCAGCCCAACTTCCATGCCGTCATCTTGGATTTCAGCCCTGTCAGCTTCATGGACACTGTCTCCATCAAGTTCCTGAAGAATGTAAGGGGTGGGGAAGCAGGCGGGCCAGCAGCCTCACCAGGGGCGTCCCCCGGGCCCTGCACGATGGGCCCATGGGCTGCCTGTCCCTCTGCCTGGGCACAACATGTTTTCTGCCATCTGCAGATCTTCAGGGATTTCCATGACATAGAAGTGGACGTCTTTGTTGCTGGCTGCCCGGGTGAGGAGGCTCTGCAGAACCATCAGCCCCCGCTGGGGCAGCCCTGTGGGCTGCAGCTACTGGCCTCTGCCCTGCACAGTGTCCCCACCCCCAGGGTTTCCCCAGGGCATAAGTGCTGCAGATTGTCCCACAGACCTAGTCTGAGCCCTGCAGCCCCCGGCAAGGCAGCTGGATCCCTGGTGATGGCCCCAGTGTCCCCTGCAGTGCAGAGGGAGGGGGGCTGCTCTGGGTGCAGGGTGGTGGGCTCTGCTGGGTGCCACGGCTTTGGATGCTTCTCTCTCCACACAGTGCCTGTCCTTGCCCAGCTGGAGCGGAGCAACTTCTTCAGCTCAACCATCACCAAGCACTGCTTCTTCCCCTCGGTGCATGACGCCGTGGTCCACATCAGCAGGGACCCACACCAGGCCTCGGTGAGCACCCAGCCTCGCTGTCCCCATCACTGTGATGGAGGGGGAGCAGCCAAGCCAACCCCTCCCCATCTGTCCCCTTTCGGCGGAACTCAGCACCAG